TCACTCTTACACCCATATACCTTACGTCTTAGATCAGGGTTGAAAACATACACTAGTGCTGCAGCCAGTGATGCAAATGAGTCACCACGGTGTATAGGAACTGTGATGAGCTAGACTCATCTCAAAGAAATATTGGATCCTTGGTTTCAGATGACTGTTCATAGAGAGATGCGGAATCTATATTACCAGCTCTCCAATATTTTAAGACAAGTCAGAAGTCCAAATATTCATGTGCCACCCGCTGATATAAAAATGTGGGCAACTAAATTACACACACACAAGTTGTGTGTGTGTGTGTGTGTGTGTGTGTGTGTGTGTGTGTAATTTAATTGCCCACATTCTTGGTCAATTCCAAGAGAGGAAGAGAGAGCGAGAGGAAAGGTGAGATAGAACATGCCTGCCATCTGAAGTTGGTCCGTGGGCTACTGTTTGCTCTAACAGTAGCCATAACATAACATAACATAACCATAACAATATTCAAAATTCTCCTAAATATGTAGGAAACATACTTCAGTATTCTGCTCTCTCTGTACAGAATAACTTTCTCATCCTCCCAGCCCCTTCATGGATCACAGGCTTGTCGTGGTGAAGGGGCTTGTGTAACTTGGTGAAGCTATGAGACATGCTGTGCGGGGCCACCCAAGACAGACGGGTCATAGTGAAGAGTTCTGACAAAATGTGGCCCCCCGGAGGAGGACATGGCAACCCCTTCCAGTATTCTTGTTGCAAGAACCTCATGAGCAGTGTGAATAGGCAAAAAGATATGATACTGGAAGATGAGCTTCCTAGGCCAAAGGTGTCCAGTATGCTACTGGGGAAGAGTGGAGAGCAATTACTAATTGCTCCAGAAGGAATGCAGTGACTGGGTCAAAATGGAAACAACACTCAGTTGTGGATGTGTCTGGTGGTAAAAGTAAAGTCTGATGCTGTAAATAACAATGCTGTATAGGAACCTGGAATGTTAGGTCCATGAATCAAGGTAAACTGGATGTCAAGATGACAGGAGACAGCAAGACTGAACATCGACATCTTAGGAATCAGTGAAGTAAAATGGATGGGAATGGGCGAATTTAATTCAGATGATCATTATATCTACTACTGTGGGCAAGAATCCCTTAGAAGAAAGGAAGTACGTAACCCTCATAGTCAATAGAAGAGTTCAAAATGCAGTACTTGGGTGCAACCTCAAAAACGACAGAATGATGTCTGTTCGTTTTCAAGGCAAACCATTCAATATCACGGTAATCCAAGTCTATGCCCCAACCACTGATACCAAAGAAGTTGAAGTCGATGGGTTCTATGAAAACCTACAAGAACTTCTAGAACCAACACCAGAAAAGATGGCCTTTTAATCATAAGGAATGGAATGTAAAAGTAGGAATTCAAAAGATACTGGGAATAACAGGCAAGTTTGGCCTCAGAGTGGCTTCCCTGGTTGCTCAGATGGTAAAGAATTTGCCCTTAATGCGGGAGTCCTGGGTGGGGAAGAGCCCCTTGAGAAGGGAATGGCTACCCACTCCAGTTTTCCTGCCTGTAGAATTCCATGGGCAGAGGAGCCTGGTGGGCGTTATAACGCTCCATAGGGTCATAAAGAGTTGGACACAACTGAGCTACTAATACTTTCACTTTCAGTTGGCCCTGGAATATAAAATGAAGCAGGGCAAAGGATAACAGAGTTTTGTCAAGAGAACACGCTGGTCATGGCAAACACCCTTTTCCAACAACACAAGAGATGGACATGGACATCACTGGATGTTCAATACCAAAATCAGATTGATTATATTCTTTGCAGCCAAAGGTGGAGAAGCTCTATTCAGTCAGCAAAAACAAGACCAGGAGCTGACTGTGGCTCAGATCATGAGCTCCCTATTGCAAAATTCAGACTTGAATTGAAGACAGTAGGAAACACCACTAGGTCATTCGGGTATGAGCTAAATCAAATCCCTTATGATTATAAAGTGGAGGTGACAAATAGATTCAAGGGATTAGATCTGACAGAGTGCCTGAAGAACTATGAACAGAGGTTCGTAACATGTACTTGAGGCAGTGACCAAAACTATCCCAAAGAAAAAGAAATGCAGGAAGGCAAAGTGGTTGTCTGGGGAGGCTTTATAAATGACTGAAGAAAGAAGAGACACGAAAAAGCAAGGGACAAAGGGACAGATAAACTCAACTGAATGCAAAGTTACAGAGAACAGCAGGGAGAGATAAGAAGGTCTTCTTAAATGAACAATGCAAAGAAATAGAGCAGAACAATAGGATGGGAAAGACTAGAGATCTCTTCAAGAAAATTGGAGATATCAAGCCAACTTTCCACGCAAGGATGGGCATGATGAAGGACAGAAACAGTAAAGACCTAACAGAAGCAGAAGAGATAAAGAGGTGGCCAGAATACAGAGAAGAACTATACAAAAGAGGTTTAAATGATAGTGACTGTGGTCACTCACCGAGAGCTGGACTTCTCGGAGTGTAAAGTCAAGTGGACCTTAGAAAGCATTACTATAAACAAAGCCAGTGGAGGTGATGGAATTCCAGCTGTGCTATTTCAAATCCTAAAAGATGACGCTGTTAAAGTGTTGGACTCAAGATGTCAGCAAATTTGGGAAATTCAACAGTGGCCACAGGACTGGAAAAGATCAATTTTCATTCCAATGCCAAAGAATGTTCAAACTACTGTACAATTGTGCTCATTTAACATGAGAGCAAGGTTATGCTCAAAATCCTTCAAGCCAGGATTCAGCAGTATGTGAACGGAGAACTCCAGATGTACACACTGGATTTAGAAAAGGTAGAGGAACCAAAGATCAAATTGCCAACATTTATTGGATCATAGAGAAAGCAACAGAATTCCAGAAAAACATCTATTTTGGCTTCACTGACTACACTAAAACCTTTGACCGTGTGGATCACAATAAACTGTGGAAAATTCTTCAACAGATGGGAATACCAGACCACCTCACCTGTCTCCTGAGAAACTTGAATGCAGGTCAAGAAGCAACAGTTAGAATCAGACAGGGAAGACCGGTTCAAAATTGAGAAAGGGGTACAACAAGGCTGCATATTGTCGCTCTACTTATTTAACTTCTATGCAGAGTACATCATGTGAAATGCCACGCTGGAAGAATCACAAGTTGGAATCAAGATTGCCAGGAGAAATATCAATAACCTCAGATATGCAGATACTACCATTCTAATGGTAGGAAGTGAAGAGGAACTAAAGAACCTCTTGCTGAGGGTGAAAGAGGAGAGTGAAAAAGTTGGCTTAAAACTCAACACGATTAAAACTAAGATCATGGCATCCGGTTCCATCACGTCATGGCAAGTAGAAGGGGGAAAAGTGGAAACAGTGGCAGATTTTATTTTCTTGGGCTCCAAAATCACTATGGACGATGACTGCAGCCATGAAATTAAAAGACACTTGCTCCTTGGAAGGAAAGCTATGAAACCTAGACAGCATATTAAAAAGCAGAGACATTACTTTGCCAACAAAGGTCCATATAGTCAAAGTTGTGGTTTTTCCAGTAGTCATGTATGGATGTGAGAGTTGGAGCATAAGGAAGGCTGAGCGCTGAAGAATTGATGCTTTCAGACTGTGATGCTCGAGAAGACTCTTGAGAGTCCACTGGACAGCAAGAAGATCAAGCCCGTCAATCCTAAAGGAAATCAGTCCTGAATATTCATTGGAAGGACTGAAGCTGAAGCTCCAGTACTTTGGCCGCCTGATGTGAAAAGCCTACTCACTGGAAAAGACTCTGATGCTGGGAAAGACTGAAAGCAAAAGGAGAAGGAGGTGGCAGAAGATGAGATGGTTAGATAGCATCACAGACTGAATGGACAGGAGATAGTGAAGGACAGAGGAGTCTCGTGTGCTTTAGTCCCTGGGGTGGCAAAGATTCGGACATGACTTAGTGACAGAACAACAGCAAGGACAAATATACGCACACAGAATCTTCATATTTATGCCTTCAGCATCTAGTTGGTGCTTAACATGTACTAGGTCCTTTGAAAGTCTACAGTGTAGAAGTTTGCTGATCTTTGGTCCTGAGCGACTGATCTGAACTGAACTGAGGCAGTTTTCAGAAGTTGGCGCGCAATACCGCCAATGACTTCTTCTGGCCACTAGAGGGCAGACTGATTTCACAGCTGTCCTGCCCCCGGCCCAGCTGTCAAGGGCCCCCCCAAACACTCCCCAATGTACGCCTCCGCTTGTCATTTCCAACACTGTCTGCCACCGTCCCGACAAATCTCACTTTACTCATCCTCTTTAAGACAAAGCAAATGCACACGCCGGCAGCGGCCCTGAGGTCACACCTCTTCGCTTCAGCGGCCACCCACCAGCTCTCCCTCCCGTTCCTACGGCCTTTGGGGAACTAAAGAGTTAACTCCGCCCTCCACCTGGTTCTTTTTCTCCACTAATCCGCTCTGTCTGGTAGCTGGGGGTGGGTGACATCCTAGATAGAGTGGTCACGGAACCCTGGATTCAACTACTTTATTTTCCAGAAACCGTCACCCTCCTGCCCCACAACCTGATACACAACCAAACACCTTTTCCGGCTAAGATCCCAAACCTTCACCTCTTTCTTCCCGGGACGGAGCCAGGTAGGAGGAGAGGGACAAGGTGGGGCGCAAGAGGCACGCTGTTACTTCCACACATCTCTGTTCTTCCCATCCCCGTGAGGGAGCCCCTTCTGCGGGTACCGCTTCTCGGAGGAGAAACACATTGGGCCCGCCGAGAAGCGGGAAGAGGATCTAGAGGAAACCGCGCGGGTTGAGAGGCTCGGGAGAGTCCGCGACTTCGGGGCAGGGAGGAAGGAGTTAAAGATCCAGGCTTGGTTCTACTGTCTCTGAGTCTGGGAGGGGAAGCGGCCGGGAGGGAGGGTTCGGAGCTTGGCTTGGGTCCTCCCCAGTTCCCCCCGGACTGTCGGAGACTTGGGCCGGCCGGACGCCCCTTCTGGCACACTCCCTGGGCCAAGCGCTCAGGCACACATACAAACACTCACACTCCGCTTTTCCTCCCTGGCGCCCTCTCTCCCATCCTTCTCCACCGGGCGCTCGCTCGCGCTTTCTCTCTCCTAACAGACGCACACACACACACGCACGCACGCACACACACACGCACCCCGTGGTTCACACTCGGGTCCTCTCGGCCCCCGAGCTCGCCTCGCACCCACCTGCTCCGCAGAGCCCTGGGCACACCCCTAGGTCGCGCCCCTGGCGCTCCCAGCGCGGACTGTCGCAGCTAGAGGGGGCGGCGTGCTCCGGTGAGCGCCCCCGCTCCGCCCCTCTTCCCTCCCACGGGGGCGCTCCCGGTGCCCAGTACCGGCCGCTGAGCCGGAGTGGACGCTCGAGGCCATGGTGGGAGCGCTCGCCCACCACGGTGCCCGCTGAGGCCATGCAGCGCCCCGGGCGCCCCTCCGGCGCCCGCCTGCGCCTGCTTCTGCTCCTGCCGCCGTTGCTACTGCTCCCGGGCAGCTACGCTGGCAACCTGACGGTGGCCGTGGTGCTGCCTCTGACCAACACCTCGTACCCGTGGTCTTGGGCGCGCGTGGGACCGGCGGTGGAGCTGGCCCTGGCCCGGGTGAAGGCGCGGCCGGACCTGCTGCCGGGTTGGACAGTCCGCACGGTGCTGGGCAGCAGCGAGAGCGCGCTGGGCGTCTGCTCCGACACCGCCGCGCCCCTGGCCGCCGTGGACCTCAAGTGGGAGCACAGCCCCGCGGTGTTCCTGGGCCCCGGCTGCGTGTACGCCGCCGCCCCCGTGGGCCGCTTCACCGCGCACTGGCGGGTGCCGCTGCTGACCGCCGGCGCCCCCGCCGTGGGCTTCGGAGCCAAGGACGAGTACGCGCTGACCACCCGCGCGGGACCCAGCCACGCCAAGCTAGGCGACTTCGTGGCGGCGCTGCACCGACGGCTGGGCTGGGAGCGCCAGGCGCTCGTGCTCTATGCCTACCAGCCAGGGGACGACCAGCCCTGCTTCTTCGTGGTGGAGGGTCTGTACATGCGGGTTCGCGACCGCCTCAACATCACGGTGGACCACCTGGAATTCGCCGAGGGAGACCGCGACCACTACGCCATGCTGCTGCGCACCGTGCGGCGTAAAGGCCGAGGTAGAGGCAGGGCACACCCGTCTGGCCCCTTGGCCTCCGGGCCTTCCCCGGGACTTGACCTCTCTCCTGGCTGCACCAAACGTCTCCTCCTCTGGGCCCTTCACTGCTGCCTCGGCCTCCTCCGCCCCGTCCACCTCTGAGTTTCTATTTCCCTGTCTTTCTCCATGGCCCCCTCTCTTCCTAGGCTCGCCTCGATTCTCACCTCCCCACTCCCTCGCCTCCTTCCCACCGATTCCTCCGGAGTTAATTTAACAGAGGTAAAAAAGCCTCCAGCTACCACCCTGACACTTGGTGGGGCCCCAGCTTAGTTCCTAGCCCTCTTTTTCTCCCCCGTTTTCCATCTTTTCCCAGCAGCCTCCTTCCCTGCTCCAGCTTCTCCTCCCGGAGCTCCATCTGCCCTCTTGTCTTCCAGTCCCCTCTCCAGCTGGCCCTCCCCTGCTCTCCCTGCCCCACCCCTCACCTTCCCCACCTTCAGCTCCATTATTCCTGCTCTCCTTGTCTGGCCTCCTTCTTCCTCCCCCTCCCACAGCCTTCTCTGTTGTCTTTCTCCTGCTTAGCCTAGACTGAGCCAGGAGTTCCACTTAACCACCACAGGGTCTCTGAACTTTCACCCCTGGGTGCCCCCGCTTCGGTTTCTCCTCCATTCCCTGACACCCTGGCTTCCCTGGCTTCTCTCTCTCCCCAGTTATCTACATCTGCAGCTCGCCGGATACTTTCAGAGCCCTCATGCTTCTGGCCCTGGAAGCTGGCCTGAGTGGGGACGACTATGTTTTCTTCCACCTGGACCTCTTTGGGCAAAGCCTACAAGGTGCACACGGCCTTGCTCCCCGCAGGCCCTGGGAGAGAGGAGATGGGCAGGATGTCAGTGCCCACCAGGCCTTTCAGGTGAGGGTCCAGCTTGGAAGCCCAGGCTGTGGGGCTCTGGGTTGGGGGCACATCGTTTCTGGGTCCTGGGTGCCTCAGTGTCTGAAAGGATTCCAGAAAAGAAGTTACTGATGCTCGTAGGGAGTTAGGTGACAGAAGGACAGGGGGCTGGGGCCACGGGTACATAGAGGGTCGGAAGACTTCAGAACTAGGAGGCTAAAAATATGAGAGAATGCCCTTGAGGCGGGATAATACTCACATCCCGTCAACCATCAGGACTTAGAAATGCCATCCCAGTTCATCCCTGCTTTGACGCAGGCAGCACCTCATGCAGAACATGGGGTCCAATCTGACCTTGAGCTAAGCAGAGGTGCAACTCTGGGAGGTGGGCACTCAGGATACAGGGAGGACCAGAGTCAGCATCCAACCAGCTCTCCCCTCTCCACTGACTCCTCCTCAGGCTGCCAAAATCATTACATATAAAGAGCCGGATAATCCCGAGTACTTGGAATTCCTACAGAAGCTAAAACGCTTGGCCCTTGAGCAGTTCAACTTCACCATGGAGGATGGCCTGGTAGGAGGCGGTCCTGGGTGATGTGGACCCCGAATCTCCACTCCACAGCCCTCTGCTGGTCTCTACCCCCACTTTCTCAGCCTCGCTCCTATTCCCGGTCTGCCCTTCTCTCCCTTCCCTTTGCTCCCCTATCTCTCCTGATGATGGAGGGCGGCACTGACAATTGTTCAACCTCTGAACCTCAAATCTTTATCAGTAAAATGAGGATGATACGTCCTGCCCCTTGTGCCTAGCAGGTGTATACAGCTGTGTCTTATAAGTATTGAAATCTCTCTGCACGTACATGGGTAGGGTTGTTTTCGCCCATCCTCTTCCAAGTTCCCATTCCCTCCCATTCCCTGCCCCACAGCACCCCACTCTGCACCCCCTCATACCTCCCCCCACCAGCCCAGCTCTCTCTGTCCCTGCAGGTGAACACCATCCCAGCGTCCTTCCACGATGGGCTCCTGCTCTACATCCAGGCGGTGATGGAGACTCTAGCACACGGGGGAGCTGTCACCGACGGGGAGGGCATCACTCAGCGGATGTGGAACCGAAGCTTCCAAGGTCAGGGACTGCAGGGGGCAGAATGGGCTACCCTGGGGCGCCCCAGGCAGGAGGCAACAAGAAGCCTCTGGGCCTGCAGTGCAGGTAGTCCTTACACACACCAGTCTCTCCAAGCTGCCTTTAGGCTTTCTTCCCCATCTCACTAGTGTCATTAGAAGTCTTCTTAAGTGCCCAACGCCAGTCATTCCTGCTGATGACATGTCTGTCTCTTTTATCATATATGTGTGTGTGTGTGTGTGTGTGTGTGTGTGTATTCGGAGGGCAAGACAGACAAGATCAAAAGATGGAGATGAGGTCTGGAGTCCCTGAACTTTCACTCTCAAAACACAGCCATCATCCTCCATACCCGCAGGTGTGACAGGATACCTGAAAATGGACAGCAATGGAGACCGGGAGACTGACTTCTCCCTCTGGGATATGGATCCTAACACTGGCGCCTTCAGGGTAAGGTTGTGCCCCCAAGAAGGCAGTGCCAACTGGGAGTGACATCTCACCCTCCCACCTCAGTGCATAAGAGCAAACCCTGGATAAAAGCCATCCAGCCAATCTGGAGGAACAACCAGAATGATAGGGACTTGGGTGTTGTCCTTGGGGAGCCCCATGTGTAAGTAGGGAACACAGCCCTGCCCTCAGCAAGCCCCATGTCTCTGAAGGGAGGCAGGATCCCCTCCCAGCAGAGACAGGCTATACTCAGAAGGAGGAGTATATGGTTTAGGCCTGGGGATGTGGACTGAAAACACTGCCTTTTCCTATTTCCTGGGTGCTTCAATCCCGGATTACAAACTTCCTGAGTGTGGGACTGTGATTCTATATAGAATATAGAAGTGCTTAAGTCATTGTCAAGTTTGTCCATTCTGATAACATGGGGCGTGGGTATGAAGCTGTCTGTATCCAGTCACGCCAGGGGCTTGGTGAACTGTTGACAGGGCAGACTCAGTCTCTGGCAGCGGAGGCTGGGTAGGTGGGGGGCAGGACTGCTTCCCTGGACAGGAGGCCTCACCAAGGGCCCTTGCCCGCCCACCACTCCTGCCCTCCCATAGGTTGTTCTGAACTTCAATGGGACTTCCCAAGAACTGCTGACCATGTCAGGGCGCAAACTGAACTGGCCCCTGGGGTATCCACCTCCTGATGTCCCCAAGTGCGGCTTTGACAATGAGGACCCAGCCTGCAACCAAGGTGACTGCCCCTTGCCTTCCTGGCCTCCATTCTGGAGACACTGCATGCTTCCTGTTCAGGGGGTCGAATAGGTGCTGCTCTCTGGCACCGAGGGTTTCCCACAGAGACTCCGCCTGCCGTTTTTGTTCCTTCGTCCACCATCTGAGTTCACTGATTAAATATTAAAAAGTGCTGGGACTTCCCTGGCAGTCTAGTGATTAGGACTCCATGCTTCCACTTTAGGCATGGGTTCAAATCTCATTCAGGAAAGGATCCTGCATGCCATGCAGGGCAGCCAAAAAAAAAAAATTATATATAAAAAACTTCTTCTTTCTCCTGTCCAATGTCTATCTCACACCTCTCTTGCTGCAACTCGGTCCTCCTCTGTAGACCACTTCTCCACCCTGGAGGTGCTGGCTTTGGTGGGGAGCCTCTCCCTTCTCAGCATCCTGATCGTCTCCTTCTTCATATACAGGTGAGCCTGGGGATGAGCGTGGTGACTGAGGCTGGAAGGCCTGGAGAACCAGTAGCAGAGGAAGTGGCAGGGGCCCAGAGTGGAGGGGGGCGGTGAAGAGACAGCACAGCAAAGCCCAGGGAGATGGGGGAGAAAAGAGACTAAAAAGCCCTCCAGCGAAGAAGGAGGGGAAAGGGCTTCCCAGGTGGTGCTAGTGGTAAAGAACCCCCCTGCCAACGCAGGAGACTTAAGGAGGCACCAGAGATAGGAGTGGCCAAGGAGGATCTGGGAGATCCAAGAAGGAGCGGATCTGTTGGAGCATCATAGGATGTGGGTTCTGAGCTGAGGCTGGTCTATCCTCCCTTCCTGTTTATACAGACCAGATGGGAAGCAATGTGTTGGACCCATATTAGCTGACCAAGGATGATGGCTCGGCCATGTACCAGGGGCTGAACCCAGAGCAGAGGAGAGAGATAAGGAAGACTCACTTCTGCCTTCTGGTGGGAGGCTGACAGGTGCAGGAAAAGTTGATGACAGAGGGAAGCAAGGAGGGAGAGAAGAAAATCAGGGCTGGTTGAGCATAAATTCTGTGCCAGGCACTTCCACACACATTTCTTTTCATTCTTATAACAATGCTTTGAAATAAACGTCAAGATCCCCAGTTTCCACATGAGGACATTTAGACATGAACATGAGCCTCAGAGAAGTGAAATGACTACCTCAAGGTCCCCAGTGAGGCAGAATTTCACCCAAGCCTCCTGACTCCGAGCTGAGAGGCTGTAACTGCCCCACCCATCTCTCAGCTCCTGCAGAGATCCCAGGGCTCTGAGGAGGGGCTGCTGAGTACCCCCGCCCTGGGTCAGGAGCTCAGACGTGGGCTCAGGTGCAGGTTTCGTGCCCCAGGAAGATGCAGCTGGAGAAGGAACTGGCCTCAGAGCTGTGGCGCGTGCGCTGGGAGGACCTGCAGCCCAGTAGCCTTGAGAGGCATCTCCGGAGTGCAGGCAGCCGGCTGACCCTGAGCGGGGTAAGAACTCCACTACTGGGGAGAAGGGGGCTGAGCCGGATACGGGTATGGGGGTTAGCACCTGACGAGTTAGGGTAGAGAGAAAGATTCTCGTCCCAGCTCTGCCTTCACTTGCTATGTGACCTTGGGCAAGTCACATACCCTCTCTGAGACCATCTCAGATAATGATTACATCCATAGAGCCTCCCTCACAGGTCAGTGATAGCATATGTGAAAATACATCTTTTTAAAAGTAAATAATGAGAACCTACTGAATAACACAGGGAACTTCTAGTCAATGCTCTGTGGTGACCTAAACGGGAAAGAAATCTGAAAAAGAAGGGATAGATGTGTACATACATTTGATTCACTTTGCGGTACAACAGGATCCAACACAACACTGTAAAGCAACTACACTCCAATAAATCTTGTTTTTTGAAAAGTAAGTAAATGAGGGAAGGATTTCAGGATGAGCTAAAATTCCACACATTGAGCTGGATGACAGGATGAGGCAGGGTGACACAAAGATAAGGCAGGGTAGTGAAGAGCAGAGCTCAGCCAGCCAGGATGGAGAACTGGGCCCACTGGCTGACCATCCCTCCTCTGCTCCACCCCTTCAGAGAGGCTCCAATTATGGCTCCCTACTGACCACAGAGGGCCAATTCCAAATCTTTGCCAAGACAGCGTATTATAAGGTAAGTCTGCGTAAGACCACTGGTCCTCCGGATGGGACAGGGTTGTGCTCTGATGAAGGACTGAGGAGGGTCTTAGGGCAGTGGTGGGCTGTCAGAGCGGTGGGGTTCCCAGTGCTGGGCTCTTTCCTCACAGTGACCACCTCCACTCCTTGCTCAGGGCAACCTCGTGGCTGTGAAACGTGTGAACCGGAAACGCATTGAGCTGACACGGGAAGTCCTGTTTGAGCTGAAGCATGTAATGTGCGGAGGGAGGGAAGGAGGCAGTGGCCTGGGGAAGAATCTGGGGATATGGGGAGGTTGGCCAACAGAAGCAGCATGGAGGGACGACAGCGTATCCTAGGAAAGGGTGGGCACTAGAGCCGTGGGAGGGGCCCTTGCACATTGTGAGTAGAATCACAGATGCGAGAAGGGCTACTGGAGATTTCCTAGGGGCTCCGCTGAATGGGCTTAGGAGGCAGAGAGAATAGGGAGCAGATTCTGGGGACGGGTTCTTTCAAACAGGAGTGGGAATCACGGGAAGCTCCTAGAATGTCTGGAGAGAATACATCGGGACTTAGGAAGAGTGAGGGGTCCCTGAGGGTAGGGGCGATTTGGTGCGGAGTGAGGTCTCTGCCAGGCTCTGATGCTGGGTCTCGCCTGCAGATGCGGGATGTACAAAATGAACACTTGACCAGGTTTGTGGGAGCCTGCACTGATCCCCCCAACATCTGTATCCTCACAGAGTACTGTCCCCGTGGGAGCCTACAGGTGAGGGTAACAAGGGAGTGTCAGGACACCTGGGTCCAGCCCTGAGTCTGCCCTTGACTGACCATAAGCGCAAGCCTCTCCTTTTTTCTGACCTTTATTTTCCCCATCTGTAAAACGGAAGTGGGGTAGGGTGGTGGCACCAGAGTAAATACGAAGCTTTGTTCTCTTCTGCCAGTTTATGTCAGCGGGACCCCTGCACTCCTCCTCCTGGGGGCACATGCAGGGTTCAGGGCTGACTCTCACTGCCCTGCAGGACATCCTGGAGAATGAGAGCATCACCCTGGACTGGATGTTCCGGTACTCGCTCACCAATGACATTGTCAAGGTAGGTCGGGTATAGCCCACTGGGTGTGGGGTGAGGGGCCAGGCAGGCCTCTTCTCTGGCCCTGGTTGGAGGTCCCACTCAGACCCCTGCCTCCCCCAACTTCCCAGGGTATGCTGTTCTTACACAATGGAGCCATATGCTCCCATGGGAACCTCAAGTCATCCAACTGCGTGGTAGATGGGCGCTTTGTGCTCAAGATCACGGACTACGGGCTGGAGAGCTTCAGGGATCCAGAGCCAGAGCAAGGACACACCCTCTATGCCAGTGAGCCCCGCATGACTCTGACCCCGAACCCCTACGGCCAGCACAACCCGATGGGGACACTGATGCCCTGGCCTGCGATGGGCTCAGGCCCACCTTTCCTGACTGCCAGCTCAATTCATCATCAGTAGAAAGCCGAGTCAGACGAAGTTGTCTCAAGCCGCTTCTAGCTCTAGCACCCCCTGTTTTGTCTCCAGATCAGCCCAGCCACTTCCTTGTTTCCCATCACCCCTTAGCTTTGGGGCCCTTCACCCTGTGACTCCTGACCTCTGACCCACAGAAAAGTTGTGGACAGCCCCTGAGCTCCTGCGAATGGCCTCGCCCCCTGCCCGGGGCTCCCAGGCTGGTGATGTGTACAGCTTTGGGATCATCCTTCAGGAGATTGCCCTGAGGAGTGGCGCCTTCCACGTGGAAGGTTTGGACCTCAGTCCCAAAGGTGAGAGGACCACACTTTCCCCTAATGCCGCCACACTCCACTGACCCCAGCTCGAGAGAGAGGGAATCCTGGAAACACTGCCCCCTTCTCCTCCACTGTGGCCAGTGACCCCAAGCACGGCTGGCCCAGGTCCCTGCGGGGCTTCCCCAGCCCTTGCTCTGGTCCTGGACTTCCCCACCTCATTACTCAACAGGCCCCAGGCTGAACCCATCCCTCATCCTCTCTCCCTGCAACCACACAGAGATCATCGAGCGTGTGACTCGGGGCGAGCAGCCCCCCTTCCGGCCCTCCCTGGTCCTGCAGAATCACCTGGAGGAACTGGGACAGTTGATGCAGCGCTGCTGGGCCGAGGACCCACAGGAGCGGCCACCCTTCCAGCAGATCCGCCTGATGTTGCGAAAATTTAACAGGTCATTGGCGTTAGTCCTGGGCTGTCCCAGCCTCCTCCACCCACAGCCACCATGTATCCCACGCTTAAGTCTTATCCCTGTGGTGGGTGGCAGAGCCCATGCACAGCCCCCCAGACATAGCCTGCTCCAGCCCACCACAGCCCTGCAGCCCCCTCTGTGAATACTGTGGGACCCAGTTGTCCCCACAGCCACCCACTTTTCATACCAGTGTCCTCCCCGGCCCCTGCTCCACAGTCTTCACTGGTAAGCAGAGTAAATGGCCTTGCACCTCCTCCCTTTGCCTCTCTGTCCTCCACGGGAGCTCCCACCCATCCTTTGCTGCCCTTTCCCAGTGTGCTCTATGGGGCCCAGGCACACCCCTTAGCTAGTCTGTGCCCTCACTCTTCTCAGCTGATCCCTGTTCCTTCCTACCTCCTCTGTGTGCATGTGTGCTAAGTCACTTCAGTTGTGTCTGACTCTTTGAGATCCTATGGACTATATAGCCTGCCAGGCTCCTCCCTCCATGGGATTTCCCAGGCAAGAATACTGGAGTGGGTTGCCATGCCCTCCTCGAGGGGATCTTCCTGACCCAGGGATCGAACCCTCGTCTCCTGGGTCTCCTACATTGGCAAGCGGGTTCTTTGTCACTAGCACCACCTGGGAAGCCCTCTATCTCCTCCACCTCCTTCTAGCCTACTTGTGTTCAACAAAATGAGCAGAAGAGTCAGTACATCTGAAGCTTCAGACTTGACCCTGGGGACTCAAGGAAGAGTTGGACTTTCTTCCTACCCTCTTCCCTGCACTCCCATCCTGCTGTGTCCCCCAACCCTGACCATCTCCAGGGACTCTGCTGCAGTATAAGCTAACTTAAGTCTGGGGAGGGTGAGAGCCTGCGGTGGGCACTGCAGCGTTGGGCATGCTGCTCCCCTCTGACCACCACCCCCTCCGCCACCCCCCTCCCAGGGAGAACAGCAGTAACATCCTGGACAACCTGCTGTCACGCATGGAGCAGTACGCCAACAACCTGGAGGAGCTGGTGGAGGAGCGGACCCAGGCCTACCTGGAGGAGAAGCGCAAGGCCGAGGCCCTGCTCTACCAGATTCTCCCTCAGTGAGTGCCTGCGCCTCGTGACCCCGCCAGCCCTGCCCTGGCCCCGGCTCATCTTCTGATCCTGCCCCTGTCCCTGGCCCCTCAGCTCAGTGGCTGAGCAGCTGAAGCGTGGGGAGACGGTCCAGGCCGAAGCCTTTGACAGCGTCACCATCTACTTCAGTGACATCGTGGGTTTCACAGCCCTATCAGCAGAGAGCACGCCTATGCAGGTAAGTCAGGCGAGAGCAGCCAGGTGTGCTTGGCTTCTCATCTCCATCCCACAGGTCTGCCTTCTGGGTCTGCATTTTCCACCTGAGCCCAGGTGGGGCCCCTTACTCCTCACTCCTTGTGGATGCTCTTTTCTTCCAGGTGGTGACCCTGCTCAACGACCTGTACACTTGTTTTGATGCTGTCATAGACAATTTTGATGTATACAAGGTGAGTAAAGATGGGAAGGGACAGACAGTTGTGGACAGGATTACAGAAAAGTGAAAGGTAGAATGACACAGAACCTTAAGAGAGAAGACTAGCCTGAAGAAGGAAATGGCAACCCACCCCAGTATTCTTGCCTGGAAAAGTCCATGGACAGAGGAGCCTGGTGGGCTGCAGTCCATGGGGTCCCATGACAGAGCATGCACGCATGAGGTGGGTGGAGGGAGATGGGTAATAAACAGGTAGAACTAAAGAAAAAGGAGAGAGAAGACTAAGGGACATGGGCAAAGGCAGTGTCACGAGGAGGTGTCACAAGGAGACCCAGGAACCGGCAGAAAAACCGGGCGGAGTATGGAGGATGAGCAAACACAATGGCTGGTAGGCGGGTAGACTAGGAGACAGTGCCCTCTGGGTGACGGCCCACACTGGGAAGAGAAAGTTGGAGCCCTCAGGTCCTGCACTCTCTCACGACCCTCATAGGTGGAGACCATTGGTGACGCCTACATGGTGGTGTCCGGGCTCCCAGTGCGGAACGGGCGGCTGCACGCCCGCGAGGTGGCCCGCATGGCCCTGGCGCTGCTGGATGCGGTGCGTTCCTTCCGCATCCGCCACCGGCCCCAGGAGCAGCTGCGCCTGCGCATCGGCATCCACACGGGTGAGGCCGCCGAAAGACCAGAGACCAGCCCCAGCTCTCTGCGGCGCTACCTACACGCGCGCATACACCTTCACCTCCCCCCACCACACACACACCCCCTGGGCTCCCACCGACCACAGACCCCACCTGCTGCCTCTCCTGGGGCATCCTACCCTAGCCTCACCCTCTGGCCCCACCTAGGTCACCCTCCATTCCTCCCACCTGCTTCTCTGAACTGATGGGCTTCCACTCCCTTCAGGACCCGTGTGTGCCGGCGTGGTGGGGCTGAAGATGCCCCGGTACTGTCTCTTTGGGGACACAGTCAACACTGCCTCAAGAATGGAGTCTAATGGGGAAGGTACTCTGGGTTCCCTGGGCGGGACAGGGTGGGCAGGGGGGTTGTAGTTGCCTGCCTGGCAGCGGATGCCTTCCACTCCCTGTTCTTTCTCTTCCCGAGTTGCCTTCTAATAAGGGTTCAACCTGGCCAGGTCACCTTGAGTCTAATCAGAGACGCAGGTCCCAGCTGCCCACTCTTGCCAAATGACTGAGAAGTCTTTCCAGACCAACGTCTGGCAGTTTCCAGCAGGAATCTTACCTTTAGGGCCCTCTTGAGTGTGGTCAAGAGGGCTTCAGAGCCGCCCACTTCGGTGTGAATCTCAGTTCTACAACTGATGTTTCATGTCAATTTGCTACACCTCCCTGAACCCCTGTTTTCCTTATCTGGAAAATGAGAATGAAACATCTATCAGAAAAGTTGTTTGAGAAAGTCATATAACATGACTAGCACGTAATTGTTCAGCTTGTCTGAGCTTCAGCTGTTTATCTTTAAAATGATGATGTCTTGGGTTATAAAAAACACAGCACAACCCCTGGAACACAATGGATACCTGATAAATGCTTGCTCCCAGCTCTTCCCTTGGGCTTGCTTCCTGTCGATCTGCTTCCTGCTGTAGTCAACACAATTCAATTCAGTCACCATTTATTGAGCAACTACTGAATACCAGGCCCTGGAATACTAAGATGACCTAGACCACAGTTTGCTAGGGACTCAAGGAAGGGCTGCAGGGAACAGTAGTCAGGAAGCCTGGGCCTGACCTCAGCAGCCTGCACAGATCTCCTCTCCAAGGCCTGGGCACCCTCAACCCTAAAATGAGGGTGTTAAGTTAAAAAATGATGATAGCAACCGATTGTATAGTGCCTCCTAAGTGCCAGATTCTTTTAAAATACTTTATGAGTAACATTAGATTTAATCCACACAAGAGTGCTTTGAGATGGGTCCTGTCACTCTCAGCATTTTGTAGACAAGGAAAATGAGGCACAGAGAGTTAATATTACTTCCCCAGCCAAGTGTCCAAGCTGGGATTCATACTAGGCAGTGCAGGCTCCACTGTCTGAGCCCTTGACCTCTACACTCTACTATCTGTCTAGAGCCTGGTGATGCTCTGAAGTGCTGTCCAATGGAACTTTCTGCAGTAATAGAAATGTTCTATAAGCTGTGTTGTCCAATATGGTAGCCTCTGAGGCATTGTGTTTTATTTATTTATTGCATTTTAACTGTATTTCATTTTAATTACAATCTAAATAGCTACATCTGTCTATGGCTATCATGGTGGACAGCACAGCTCTGGAATTCTTAGGGTGAGGCCTATGTGGTCAGACACCACGTGGAGTGGGTGAATGGGACTCTGAATTAGGAGGCTTCTTTCAGGGCTAAAGGAAGGTGGGAGAGCATCTTTCTAGCCCTACGGCCCCCAATCTCCTGCTCCCAACTCTTGCATCTCTCGTCTCCCTTCTCCTCCTTTATCCTACCCAGCCCTGAAGATCCACTTATCTTCTGAAACCAAAGCTGTTCTGGAGGAGTTTGGTGGTTTCGAGCTGGAGCTTCGAGGGGATGTAGAAATGAAGGTAGAAAGTCCCTGCCCTCACAACCCCTTGAGGTCCCTGCAGGGCTCACCTTCCCCCAGGCCCCTTCTCAAGCAACCATCCCCATTCCCATCATTTGGGAAAGTGGATGTATCACTCCCCACCCCAATGTCCTCTTTTTCCCTCCAGGGCAAAGGCAAAGTTCGGACCTACTGGCTCCTGGGGGAGCGAGGGAGTAGCACCCGAGGCTGACCTGGCTCCCCTCCTGGCCTTCCACTCCCCCCTTCCCTGGGCCAGAGATGACAGAGAGATGCCAGCATCAGCCCGTCCACAGCAACCCCACATTGCCAAAGAAGTGGCTTGAACAACTCAGATGTCCTGACCCCAGTGGCGACACCAGATACTACCTCTGAAAGAGGACTTGTATGGGGGAGAACTTGGAGCCCACAGGACTGGACCAAAACTCACAGTCATGCCCAGGGAACACACACATACACACACACTCACTCTTCACCCTATCCCAGGCCAGGCCAGGCTGGGATGTGGATTCCTGAATCCTCCTGCCCCTCCCTGTGCCCTCCTCCCTCAACCTTGCTACACTGTGACTATTATTGGGGGGGCGGGAAGAGCCCCCTGAGTGGGAATAGAAGGGACTATAGATGAATCCAGGGGCTGGGGGGAGCCCACATCTGGGCCTAGCCCACAGGGGCCACAAACACCCCGAATCCCCCATGACCCAACACAGGATATTCAGCACAGAGGGGAGAAAGGGAAGTACAGAGGGCTGTGGGCTTGTATGCCTTGCTTCTCCTGTGAGTGGAGACCATTAAAATCTTTATTCCAGTGACAGTATCTTTTCTCAAGCCAGGGTTGCCAGGAAACACACCCATATTCTCTACCCTCAACTTTAAATAAGACGTTTCTCAAGCTGGCAGTTTAATATGTGAGAAAGTTCCCTTCAACTTTGAGGGACCAGTGTAACAGCCTATGAGTGACCCCAGCAGTGCTGACTCTGTTGGTCTCAGGATCTGTTTACACCCTTAAGAACTACTGAGGGCCCCAAAGAGCTTTTATGTGGGTTATATCTATCGATATATTCTGTATTAGAAATTAAAACAAGTCTTTATTAATTCATTTAAAATAACTTTAATAAACCCATCACATGTTAATTTTTTACTGCTTTATCAAAGACATTCTTGAGAGAAACTGGCTTTTTGTTTTGTTTTGTTTTGTTTTTGAAGATTACAATGACTAGTTTGGTGCTACTGCCTTGATTTATGCTAAGACACCGGCCTTTTAACCCCATTGTTTTTGCACCATCAGTGCACGTAACAACAGTCAATAAGGTAAATAAAAAACTTCCCCGGAAATCCAGTGGTTAAGACTCCACACTCTTGATGCAGGGACACAGGTTTCATCCCTGGTCAGGGAACTAAGATTCTGTGTGCTACTCAGTGCAGCCAAAAAAGGGAAAATAATATATAATTAGTAGGATTATGGGGGAAAAAAACTTTTTTTAATTGGCAATGCTGCGCAGTTTGCAGGATCCTACTTCCTCAACTAGGGATTGAACCCAGGCCACAGCAGTGAAAACACCAAGTCCTAACCACTGCACTGTCAGAGAATAATCATAAAAATCATTTTGACCTCATCCATCCCCTGAAATGGAGAAGGAAATGGCAACCCACTCCAGTATTCTTGCCTGGAGAATTCCATGGACAGAGGAGCCAAGCAGGCTACAGTCCATGGGGTTGCAAAGAGTTGGACACGACTGAACTGACTGACTGAGCAACATCCGCTGAAAGGATCTTGGGGATTCACAAAATCTGTGGACTACGCTTTGAGACCTCTATTTACTTGCTCTATTACCCAATGCCCAGCATACAGTAGGAATATAATGAGTGCAGACTGAATGGGCAGTCCTGGCACCTGCCCCAGGAGGTCTGGGAGCCAAGAAGGAGGGTGCAGTGGGAACATAGGGATCCCTTTTTACCTCAGTTGAAATGTGGGAATTGTCCACCTGACCATCCGTTCCCCTGCCGGTGTAGACAAATGTGAGTGATAGTTTGCAACTCTCAGTGGGGCTCAGGGCCCTCCTTTCCCTGCTCCGGCCACCCACCCCACCCCCTTCCTGAGCAGGCAGGCAGGAATGTGAATGCGGGGGAGAGGTGGCTGCAGTTTCACCTCCCCCATGGGGAAAGAAAGTGCCAGACATTTCTTCAGTACCATCCATCAAGTGCAGACAGGCCCCTCCTCCGACCTCCCCAAGCCTCTTCCTGGAGTCCACGCCCAGCGGCACTGGAGGTCAGGATGGTCCAGGGAGAGCTTGGAGGTCTGCCTTGGGGACAGCGCTCCTTGATACAAAAGTGGCTGAAGAAAGGTTAAGTTGTCCTCCCTTTGTCTAATGAGTCGTCTTGATATCCTGTGCTCCCTGCCCACCCTTTTTGGCCTCAGTCAGATTTGATTTATTGGGAGAGGGAGCTAGCACAGTCAAGTCCTCACCCTCCTCAGCTGGGGACAAATAGCTCTGGGAAGGCCTAACACAGAAGGGTGGTTGCCTTGGTAACACGGCAGCACATCCAATTTCCTGATGGGCCCTGGTGGCCATGTTGACTCCCAAACTCCCATTCCACCTCCCCCGGGGTAGTGACAATCCTAGAAGAGAGAGGAAATGCTAAAGAGAACTGTGGGGCCTAAGAAGTCAGATCAGGGTGGAGGTTGGGATATCCAGGAGACTGGGGCTTTGGAGAGGGGAGACTGCAAGAGATGAGGTGGGGAAGGAAGCGGGGAGCTGATAGACTGAGGAGCCCCAGTCAGACAATTGTAGGAAATTGCCGGTCAGATCCTTCCGGGGCAGCCTGGCTCCGCTGCGGGCACTTGGAGGGGAGGGGGCTGGGGGGGTGGGTGTGAAGACAGGCCAAGGGAGTCGATGACTTCAGTAGCTCGAGAACTTTCACTGGAACTCAGGAGATTTCCTTCCGGAGTTAGGCTCCCGAAGCCAGGAAGGACTGGGAAAGCCATTACAGAGGGGAGGTGGGGGGCGGGTAGGCGGGCAGGGTCTGAGCCGAGCAGTAGCGCCCCCACCCGCTAGCCGGGGAGACGGGTTTGCGCCAGGACCTCCGCCCACGTGGGAGGGGCTGTCTAGCCTCGCTTGAGTTTCGCCGGCTGTCCTGGGGAGTAGGTCTGGGAGGGTGGGAGGCAACAGGGTTTCCCTGGAGTAAGATAAGAATAATAACAACAGTAATCATTGGCATTCGATTGTGCCTTGCAGTTGACTAAGGCTTTCACATACATTATCTCATCAGCCCACGTGACACCCTTGGAAGGGGAGGGAGGGAGCGCAGCTGGAGGTAGGAGGGCCCAGCTATGGTCCAGCTGCGGGTAGGAGGGCCCGCTGTAGACAGTGTGCAGAGGGAACCAGCGGTGCGAGAGCCTGGGACCCGAAAAATAGAGAGAGAGCTGACAGAAAAAGACAAATATCTTCACACACCACGCCCCCCTCCATCCTCTCTCTTCTGTAGGTCGAAGAGCTTGGGTAGTTTATTTATTATAGCATACATTTAGTGATAATGTTTTAAAAATGGTTTATACCTTCCAGGACAGATCCAGGGAATCTAATTAGCAGTAGAGGCCAGTTTTGCAGCCTGAAAGTCATTTTTTTCTTTTTAATTGCCAAGAGCTATAAAAATATAAAAATAAATTAACCATTAAAAATACCTAATAAAAAAAATACCTAATGCTGTTCAGGGAGATTTAATCTCATTGAACTGGAATGCAATTAAGAGTCCAGGCGAGGTGTTTACCATCAAGATGCTGATAAATCTGGATGCTGGTGAGGAGGATAAGGCCTTAGAAGAGAGAAGGTGTGGGGCAGGAACCCACTTAATTGCAGTGCTAACTGCAGGTGTAGTGAGGGGGTCCAGATGGGGAAGAGTCCTACCCACCCAGTTCCCTATCACAAATTTCACCCGTGAGTGAGTGGTCAGGCTGGTTGCCCTGTAAGAACCTTTCCATAGCAAAGATTCCATAATCAGATGCATCTGTTAATCACTATGACACCTCTTCTGGACTTGATGCATCCCACTGTTACTGTCTGCCTTAGACTTTCAAATGTGGACTGCACATGGCATACATTGACTGTTGATAATGTCCTGTGATCAGGTCAGCTTCTCTTGTCTCAGCCCACCAAACTCCCCGCAGGCCAAAACCAGGCCATCATACCATATAGAACTCAGGATTCAGAACTGGAGCAACCTCAAACCTCTAGCAAGTGAGAGGCTGTATGATGCTGATTGGAAGGACTGATGCTGAAGCTGAAACTCCAATACTTTGGCCACCTCATGCAAAGAGTTGAGTCATTGGAAAAGACCCTGATGCTGGGGGCAGGAGGAGAAGGGGACGACAGCGGATGAGATGGCTGGATGGCATCACTGACTCAATGGACATGAGTTTGAGTAAACTCCAGGAGTTGGTGATGGACAGGGAGGCCTGGCGTGCTGCAATTCATGGGGTCACAGAGAGTCGGACACGACTGAGTGACTGAACTGAATTGAACTGAAGAGACTAATTCTGGATTCAAATTTCAGCTCCACCTAAAATATATATTTTGGCCTTACTGTGACGCATGTGGGATCTTATTTCCCCCACCATGGATTGAACCTGTGCCCCCTGCAAAGGAAGGGTGGAATCTTAACCATGGGACCTCAAGGGACAACCCTCTGCCACCTATAATCCAAGTAGCTTTGGGCAAACTTCTCAATTTCCCTAAGTGTCAATTTTCTGCTCTAACATGGCTGTTGTTGTTCAGTTGCTAAATCATGTCCGACTCTTTGTGACTCCAAGCACACCAGGCTTCTCTGTTCCTCACCATCTCCCGGAGTTTGCCCAAGTTCATGTCCACTGAATCGGTGATGCCATCCAATCATCTCATCCTCTGTTGCTCTAACATGGGAATGATCATAGAAAGAACTACCCCATAGGGTTGCCTGGAGGATTATGTTTTTTTCCCATCATATCCTTAGAACACTTAAGGGCAGGTAATAGGAACTCATTAAGTTTGCTGCTATTATTAAATGTCTATATTATGCAAACTATAATGCTAAATGTAAGGAGTTACTGATATCCAGGAACAGTTGTAAGTGAAATGCAACATGATTAGACCCCTCAATGAGAGGTAAGATCTAAAAATCTTACAAGATAAGCTAGAGGTTATGCATTTCAACTGCTTATCTGGGACTGAAATCCTTTTAAAA